TTCCTTCCTTCCTTCCTTCCTTCCTTCCTTCCTTCCTTCCTTCCTTCCTTTTTCTTCCTTCCATCTTTTTTTCCACAATTTCCTAGAAATTTATAACAATTATTTCATATAATTTTAAGGTATTGATTTAGTTTATTTTTTGAAGAAAATGGACTTGTACAAGGATAGAAAAATATTTGGCTCCTGAAACAAATACAACACTATATGTCAACTAAACTTCAATAACAAAAATTTTAAAAAGGGAGAAAAATAGCAGTCAAAATTTGATTACTCATCACATGCATATCAGTATCCTAAACATTATGGGAAGCAAAAAGAAAAATAAGATGTAGTTCCCTACCTTAAAATTGCTTACCTATTACCTATAAAGTTCTATCAACATATTAAATGACACTGGGAGTTTTAAAAAAGTTTAAATGTAAGAGGTAAAATGATTACCAATTTAACGTACCTCAAAGCAAAGAATATGCTGTACTGGAAATTTTTTTGGCTTTTGCATCTGGTCCAAATTGACATCAAACATTTATTTCTTGACAGGATTCAAGGCTGTTTTGATGCTTTGGAAAAGAGATACGTAAGAATGTTTTTAAATTTACACCAAGATTAAAGCCTCATCTTTTATCCCTTAAAAAAAAAGTTTAGCCTTTATTTTGTTGTTGTGTAATAAGTGTACCATTGCCTACATTTGCATTTCTGAAACATGTCTTTTTTTATTTTATGTCTTTGTTGTCTCGTTAATGTCTTGTTTTCATTAATTAGAAAGGAAACCCTCACTTTTCTCTTTTACATACTCATATCTTTTTGACCACAGAATTTCCTCTGAAGTCACTGGAAGAGATCCAGAGGATGTGGGACAGGGGAGACAAGAATCTGGCATTTAGCACATTGAATATGTTCAAAATAGTTGTGATTAAATTCACAGATATGAAAGGAAAAAATAGACTTGAATAAGTCTAGTTTGTATTCTATGTTGGTTATTTTGTTAACTATGTTTGGTGCATGTATATAATACATTCCCTCAAAATAGCTAGTATTGTAACTTGGAGTTTTAAAAAATGCAGCTGAATTTTAAGTGCATCAGATCTTTCTTGCTGTCCAAGACAGCTATGAAGGGTGTAAAATTTAGAGGCCCTGGTCCTAGTTAAAGAGACAAGATGTATATAAATTAACCTTCTGCCTGCGTCCCCTCCTTTTCCCCATCTATATCTTCTTTTAACTTCCTCAATTCCTATCCCTTTAAGAAATTTTGAGGTGACTAAGCCTTACATAGGATTATTTAGTTGCACTCATACATTTCCTTTTTCACTGAACAGTTATTATTTATGATTTATTCAACACTGACCTGGGGGACTGAGGGATACAAAATTAAAACAGATATGGGATTGTGCACACAAAGATTTTCTAGACCATGGCAGAAAATAAATGATATTCATATGCACGGCTGATGATCAGCCATGATACACTGGCCCAGCTGTGCCTGTTGTTAAAATATTGAAATATCAGGTGGTAAATAGCTGCTTCGCTGAGACCCAGAATGACCCCCACCATGGCGTCCCCCTCACCTCATCACTGTCTCTTTTGGGATCTCCCCAGACTGATTCATAATCTAGCAATTAAAAGGTTAACATCTGGCCCAGGGGGAGCTTCCAGAAACCCAGCTCCAAGGCTAAATTGGCATCCTTTCCGATTGGCCCATACCTGTGCCATATTGTGCTGTTAAATGTTTATTTTTTTCATATTAGTTTGATATTTTTATGTAAAAATATCAGAAATATTTTGACTACACCTCTATCACAAGTATAAGTAACCATAATACTCATTAGAAATTGTTGCATGCTAAAGGAAAGATACTGATTGTTTACAATGGAAATATGGAAAAGGAGGGGTTATATCTAGTGAGGAGCATGAAGGAAATCTTCGGGAGAAAATGGCTTTTGAACTTTGAAAGCCTTTAGTATTTGGACAGGTTTAAATGGAGAATGCATACTGAATGGTGCTCATTCATTTTCCTTCAAATGAATTCCCTCCAACATTCTTCAGCATCCATCATCGACAGGCACTACAATATAGTTAAGAGCACAAGTTTTGGAATCAGTCTGAAGGAAATCCCATTTCTGCCACTTAACACCTGTATAATCTTGGGCAAGTACCAGCATCTTGGTTCCTCAGTTTCTTTATATACAAAATGGGGATAATAACAGAACTTACTCCTTAGGGTTGAGAATTAAATGGACTAATCTAAAGCACCGGTTTTCAAATGTGAGCTTGCATTAGAATCACCTGGAAGACAGTTAAAACACATATTGCCAGGCTCTACTCCCCAAAATTTCTGGTGTGAGAATTTGCATTTCAGATAAATTCCAGATGATATTGAGACTGCTGGTTTAGGGACCATACTTTGAAACCACTGATTTAAATTTTTAGTACAATGCCTGGCACATAATAAACACTATGAAAGTGTTAACTCTTTTTCCTCCCCCCATCCCTCCCTCTCTACTTTCCTCCTTCCCTTCCCCTTCCCTTCATCTCTCCCTCCTTCTCTCCTCCCACCTTCTCTTATTCTTCTTTCCCTCCTTTCTTCTTTTCTTCATTCCCTCTCTTCCTCCCTTCCTTTCTTAACTATTTAATCTGTGCCAGACATTGTACCTAAATACTGGATGAGAGAAAAATGTGATTCCTCCACTCAAGGAGGTTACAGTCTAATGGAGTCACTTCTTAAATAATTACAATGTTAGGTGTACTAAAATAGCAGTGTGATGTAAAAAGATTATCTACCTAGTTTGATGGATTTATTTTACTTAAATGACTACCTGTATGACTGAATCAATTAAATTTATTGTTTTGGGAGATTAAAAGACAACACCTTAGACGGATGGCCTAGGTTCTTAATAGTATTTATATTTGTTTTTCAGTTGTTAGTATCTTAATTTCCTACTAGGAAATAGTTAATGTTGTTGGTTTTTTTTTTTTTTGTCTCTTCCTCTCTCTGCCTGTCCCCTGCTCATGCTCTGTCTCTCTTTGTCTCTGAATAATAAATAAAAACATTAAAAAAATGTTTTAAATAGTTTGAGTAAAGTCAAGTTTGAGTATCTAGAGATTTTGAAAGATGTTCTGTTGAAGATGATGATTATTTCTAGTTGTGAAATTTTAGGTGATTTTACCCTGTTTTCTTTGCAGTTCCTATTGTGCTTAAATTCTTTAAAGTAAGCATGTACGTATTTTTAGATAGCTATAAAAAAGAGACTATATTGTACATAGCCTCCTAATTTGTCTCATCCCATTTTCAATCCCCTACCATTCTAACCCAGTGTCCACACTACATTCTTCAGAAATCTGTCTGATCATGTCAATCTCTTGCTTGAAAATCTGCCATGGCTATGTATGTATGTATGTATGTACGTTTTATTTATTTAAGTAATCTCTACACCCAAAGTGGGGCTCAAACTCACAACCCCAAAATGAAGAGTTGCATGCTCTTCTAATTGAGCCAGCCAGGCACCCCATTTCCATGACTTTTAAAATAACATTGAGAGTCCTTCACAGAGAACCTGTATAATCTGGTCTACACCTGCCTTTCCAAGTCATCACTCTCACCATTGCTAACCATAGTCAAGCCACACAAGGATTCTAGAACATGCCAAATGCCTTTTCCTTTTGTTGTAGTATTCTTTTTTGCCTGCAAAATTCTCTTCACTACCCATACCTTTTACCTGGCTAACTCCAATGTATCTTTCAGGTCTCAGCCTAAATATTTACTTACCCAGAGAAGTCTTTCCTGGCACACAGCCCCCTACCCCAGCCTAGATTGTCCTTTTGTTTAATGTTCTCAAGCACCTCGTGATGCTTTGTCATAGCAATTAACACGATTGTAATGATGTACCTATCTGTTTGCTTTTTTGTTTAATGTTTTCTCTCCTATTGGTCTGCATGTTCCTTGAGATCAGTAGCCATTTCTATTTTTGAATGAATGAATGAACTATTAATCAAATAATTAATATAAAGTTTCACTGTATAGTCTTAAAAATAAATTGTATGCAGTAACCAAAATAGCCACACAGTGTCACTAAAGTTTTATTCCTCAGGGTGAAATAGGTGAATAATTTGATATGAAATTATCAGTCCAGAAATTTTCTTTTAATTTTTTTCTTTTTTTAAAAAATTTAACTAGGTTCCATACCCAATGTGTGGCTTGAACTCACAACCCTGAGATTAAGAGTCTCATTCTCTACTGACTGAGCCAGCCAGGCGCCCCTGGTCTGGAAAATTTCTAATTTGTATTCTAGTTTTTAAATTTTTATCAGAGGCTAGATTGAATCTCTATCTATATATTGGATTACTCTTTCAAGCAGAGAGAATCTGTTTATAGTAATATATATGCAGGTAGGGCAAGGGGTTTTATAGACATACCAGACTTTAAAATTTTTTCTTTAGTAGATTAGTTTCAAAAGACAATTTTTTGGAGATACTTGTGGCATATTTAATGTTTAATAATAATGAATTATTTTGTGTATCTTTTGCTTCTTCAACTAAAATATAACTTTTAGAGAGTACAGATAGTATTTTTTTTTTGCAACCTTCCTCTCCCCAGCAGAACCCTATGTATGTAAATTTATACACATTTGAATACATGAGTGAATTAGTATCCCTTTTTCAGATCTTCTACCCAAACCTTTGAACGTCTCTTAAATCATAATTAGCTTTTATTGAAAATAACAATAATATCTGTACAAGTATATAATAACAGTAGTTTTCTTTTCTCTTGAAGCTACACATGGCAGTACTTACAGTAAGTACACATTTAAAGACCAAGCGCATGTCTCTGTTGTCTTTTGGCAAGTAAAACATTAAAATAGTAGTGTCCCCACTTCTCCCTGAATTTCTTTATCTGTCCTATGATATTTTGGAATTAAAAAAAATAGAATCTGTCAGAAGTTTTTTTTTTTTTAATGTTTATTTATTTTGAGAGAGAGAGAGAGAGAGAAAGAGAGAGGAGGGAATGGGAGAGGGGCAGAGAGAGAGGGAGAGACAGAATCCCAACCAGTCTCTGCACTGTGATATGAGGCCCTGGCTCACGAGCCGAGCCGTGAGATCATGGCCTGAGCTGGTACCATGAGTAAGACACTTAACCGACTGAGCCACCCAGGTGCCCCGAATCTATCAGAAGTTTTTTTATTTTTTTATTTTATTTTTTTTAACATTTATTTATTTTTGAGACAGAGAGAGACAGAGCATGAACGGGGGAGGGTCAGAGAGAAGGAGACACAGAATCTGAAACAGGCTCCAGGCTCTGAGCTGTCAGCACAGAGCCCGATGCGGGGCTCGAACTCACGGACCGCGAGATCATGACCTGAGCCGAAGTCGGCCGCTTAACCGACTGAGCCACCCAGGTGCCCCTATCAGAAGTTTTAATAAAAGATCACAAATTATGTATTTCTTAGGTATTTTATAATTCATGGGGGAGTATATAGGATATACTGTCTGCTTCATATATTGGCCATCAGGATTTCGTTTTTTGAGTTACTTTAAAGACTTGGAGGTTTTTGTTTTTGCAGTTTTGTAGACTTTTTGGAGTTTTGTGAGCTTCTGGTATGTATAGTTAAGAATAGAAAGAAAATGAGAAGATACTATTGGGAGTCTTAGATATTTGATTTACTTAAGCATTTTTAATTCAGTATTCAGTGAGGAATAATCTAGTAAGTTTCAGAAATTAAATGTTGTTTATTTTTCCTTAAACAGCTTTACACAAATCCCAAGGAACCTGAGGTAAGAACACACATTGAGATGTGATTATGCTTTATATTTACATGTTTACCTGGGTTGAGGCTATTGATTATGTTACTAGCTTACTGTGTGAGCAGAGTAACTCATTATGAGCTCTTTCAGTGTGTTTTGTTATGAACTTCACCAATTATTTATTATGAGATTTTAAAAACCACTTAGGGGTATTAAAGAAAAAGCATAGAGGAAAGCCTATTCCCTAACATGTTAAAATTAAAAATCTCTGCCTGTATAAAATCACATTTTATTATTTATTTTAACCTTTAATCCTTTATTTAAAGGATTCTGAATCCTTTCTGTTTGTGGCCTTCCGGAAAATATGGCAGAATTCTAAACTTTTCTCCTTTTTGCCAATTAAATTCTCTTCTTTTTGACCTTTTCATAGATTTTTACATCTTCTTTTATCTCTAAACGTCTTTCCTATCAAATCCTACTCATACTCAAGGCCAATTTATGTTCAAGTCTCCCATAAAAGCCTCTTGGCCTATGCTGTTCACACTAATTTCTTCCTTCTCTAAATTTCTTTTCTAGCAAGACTTCACAATTTAACATTCTCAGTTGATTCATGTAGATTACTTTATCTCTCCAACCAGATTTTGAGTTCTTTAGGACAAGTGTCTTATCTTGTATTCTGTGTCCCAAAGTGAATTTCATAGTCCTGGGCATGTAATAGTTCCTTGTGCTACCTTGAATGGCAGCTGTGGCAATGATACAGAAATGGAAGGTGAAGGCCTCTATTCTTTCTTTTCATTCTGTTCTCTTTACTTCCCTCCTAACTTTTTTTCCTTTTCCCTTTTCTTTGCTTTCAATTTTATTTCTTAAGCCTATGAATTTAGCCTAACTGATGGCATTCAAGACTAAATTAAGCATTTTTAGCTTTTAATATCCTTTTTGGGGAAGATTATAAATAGCTGTTTTAGCAAGGTGGAAGAAAGCTGGTACATACAGGTGGGTAACAATTCCTCAATCCCCAAACTACCGCTTTTTATCTTTCTCTTATTTAGTTTCAGAATGTTTTTTTTTTCCTTGTAGGTTTGGAGGGAAGTTTCCCAAACTAAAACCTTCTGATAAATTGTTAATAAATTGGTCATTTTCTTAATGCAATTAATTATTTTGTTTTCTTATGTATACAAAACTCCTAGTCTGAAACCAGTGCTTTTGAGATAGTGAAATGCTGAATAAATTGGGCTTAACTGTAGAAAACTCTTAAAGTGGAGGGTGTATGTGGGGATGCTGTTAGATGAGCTTTGATACAAGTAAAATAATGAAGTTAGAAAACAAAAGCTTATAAAATGAGGTGCTGAACTATCATTTATAACCAAGAAAAAATATTTAATATTTTGAATGCTTGCAGATTGTTCCGTATAGCACTGATCTCTAACTTCTGTGTTCATGGCACACTTTTGATTACTAGAAATTTTAGTGTCATGTTTGAGGGTATTAAAAGACCCAAAAGATGGGGCGCCTGGGTGGCGCAGTCGGTTAAGCGTCCGACTTCAACCAGGTCACGATCTCACGGTCCGTGAGTTCGAGCCCCGCGTCGGGCTCTGGGCTGATGGCTCGGAGCCTGGAGCCTGTTTCGGATTCTGTGTCTCCCTCTCTCTCTGCCCCTCGCCCGTTCATGCTCTGTCTCTCTCTGTCCCAAAAATAAAATAAACGTTGAAAAAAAAAAAAAAAAAAAAGACCCAAAAGAAGGTGAAACCAGTCAGCAATAAGTACAGTGTAACTATGGGATAGCAATGTTCATAATGCCTAAAAGTATCCATGGGATTGCACTATTTTGTAGTTGCTGTTTAACATCAAGCCACTGATACAACTACTTACCTCCCTAATCTCATTTTTTTATATACTCACAAAACCACATTCCCACATAAACACAGTCTTTCTTTGGCGTTTATCTGATATTGTGCCATGTTTCTTGATTCATATCTATAGAAGTATATTCTTCCCTAAACAAAACTAAACAAACAATAGCAATATTAATATATACCTGAGGCAAAAGCATTTTACACATGGATTAAAATTTGTAGTGATTTTGTGAAGAGTCTCTCATGGAATAATAGTCGCGAACCTCTGTCTTAAATAAGTGTGCTTACCCAATCCAAGGGCCAATGGAGTTTTGTACAAAGTTGTGGTGTTCCTATACTTGCAGTTTTGTTCTGGTTGCTCCATTTCATGACAGAGATGAACTGACAGAGATAACTAAAATAGTGATGAGGTATAGTATAGCTTTCCTATAGACACATACTACAAAATATGTGGAGAGTATTAATAAGATGTGTAAACCAAAATGTGAATATGTTAAGAAAAGGTTTACACGACTTAATGCATGATAAAACTGTAAAGAATGGCTAGGTTTCAGGGCACCTGGGTGGCTCAGTCAGTTAAGCGTCTGACTTTGGCTCAGGTCATGATCTCACAGTTTGTGGGTTCGAGCCTCACATTGGGCATCTTTGCTGATGGCTCTGAGCCTGGAGCCTGCTTCAGATTCTGTGTCTCCCTCTCTCTGCCCCTTCCCAATCATGCTCGGTGTCTCTCTGTCTCTCAAATATAAATAAACATTAAAATTTTTTTAAAAAAAAGAATGGCTAGGTATCTTACTGTTTCACCATCTATTCCTATGTGCCTATTGAAGGTGGTCAGCATCCACTTTTAATAGATTGCTTCAAGAACTGAACTATACACGGTTCCTGTTTCTAGTCACAATTTGCTTTTAGAGACTTTGTTTAAAAAAAAAATCCTTGGGGCGCCTGGGTGGCTCAGTTGGTTAAGCATCTGACTTCAGCTCAGGTAATGATCTCACAGTTGGTGGGTTCGAGCCCCACATTAGGCTCTGTGCTGATAGCTCAAAACCTGGAGCCTGCTTTGGATTCTGTGTCTCCCTCTCTCTCTCTCTACCTTTCCCCTGCTCGCACTCTGTCTCTCTCTTTCAAAAATAAATAAACATTAAAAAAAAAAACAAACCCTTGTAGAGGGGCACCTGGGTGGCTTAGTCGGTTAAGCATTTGATTCTTGACTTTGGTTCAGGTCATGATCTCACATTTCTTGAGTTCGAGTCCTATGGCAGGCTGTGTGCTAACAGCATGGAGCCTGCTTCAGATTCTCTGTCTCCCTCTCTCTCTGCCTCTTCCCTGTTCTCCCTCTCTTTCAAAAATAAACAAACATTAAAAAACAAGAAAGAAACCTCAGTGTTAAAAAATTCCTTATAAGAATGAAATCCTATTGAATATGAACTCTATTCTGGCTGAATATTTATTTACTCAGCATTTTTTTTTTTAAAGTAGGCTCCAGGCCCAACATGGGCTTGAACTCACAACCCTGAGATCAAGAGTTGGATGCCTTACCAACTGAGCCAGCCAGGTGCCCCAATTCAGCAAATATTAATTGGGTTCCCTTTATGTGCCTAACACTGTTCAAGGTATAAAAACACAGGAGTTAATGGGATAAATAAGGTCTCTGTTCTCTGGAAGTTTGCATTCTTATGCGGGAGGAAAAACAATAAACAAACAAAAACTAGCAAAAGAGTTTCAAATAGTCATAATGCTATGAAGAAAATAAAAGAAAAGTGTGTGCTGGAGAGTGCCAAGGCGGGGAATGGAAGAGGAAGGATTGGAGGGAAGTCTATGGAAAGCCTTCAGAGCTAAGCATGAAGGGCCAGAGGAGTCAGCCTATGCAGGTCTGTGAGAGGCAATGGCACATAACTGGCAGAATAGCACAGGAGTTAACACTGTAGGTGTTGAAGTCAAATCCTTACTAGATTCATGTATAGTGAGGAAAATAATAACTACCTCAGAGCATTGATTGCATAAGAATGAATAAATGTAGAGCATTTAGGGCAGTGCCCAAATATTATTATCATCAACTGGAGACAGCATGTTCCAGAGTATAGGTGTGCAAAGGCCCTAAGCCAGGAAGGCATCTTGTGTGTTCATGGACAGAAAGGGTGCCCTGAGCCTGGAACTTGGCAGGTGGGAGGGAAAGAAGCCGAAGATAAGGTCAGAAAGGTAGAGAGGGGACAGATGTGTAAGGTCTTGTGGGCTAAGGTAGTTTGGGATTTTATTCTAAGGGCAATAGGAAACTGTTGGGGGGTGTTTTAAACAAAGGAGTGACATGGTCTGATTTGTGTTTTCAAAAGCCCTCTGGCTATAGAATAGAGAATGAATTACTGGTCGAATAGTTTACAAGTAAGCAGGTCAGATGAAAAGAGAAGTGGTAAAAAGAAAGAGAGAAAGAGAAAGGAAAGAAAGAAAGAAAAGGGAAGAAAAGGTAAGAGAAGAGAAGAGAAGAGATAGTGGCGGTTTGGACAGGGAGATAATAATGGGTGGACTTGGGATATGCTTTGGAGAAAGGCCTGACAGGTCTTGCCAGTGTATCGGAATGTGGAGGGAGGAGAAAGGTTATACATTGCTGTTGCTTTGGTATCTGTGAATAGATTCAATATGATTAACAGAAACCATCACTGAGTGGTTTAAAGGCCCATCTTTATTAGGCAACACATTAATCTGAAAAGCAGGAAAATATTTTATGAAATGTTAAGAAGAGACTAATGCCTGCTGTAAAATATCTTTTGTCATAAATCAGTCAGATGGAAGTTATAAGAGGTTAGCATTCTGTGTAAAAAATTACAAACATAACTCTTTTATTAATTGCTTCAGGGGCCAAATAATAAAGTGTTAATAAAATCATCAGCTGCTAAAGGATCTCCTCTTGTTATAATTAAAAAAATAGAAGAACTCAGAGTATCAGAAAGCTAGAGTCTTTGTGAAACATGGGCAGGCAGGAAGAATAGGCATTGTTTGCTTGACAGGGCAATTACACCCAGCATTAGCCAAGAGAGGATGTTGCGTATCTAGCCTGTCTGGGGGAAGCGTGTCGCTGTAGGCACCTCTAGTGTCACACACCTCTCCTACTGTACTCATAAAACAGTCTTCTAAATTTTCTTTGATTTCCCAAGTAGACTGTCTTGCTAGAAAAAAATTTTTTCTTTTAAATTAAGTCCACGTGAATTAGTTGTTTTAGAGTTTAAGCAGCATGAGCCAATTTCCCCAGGACCTGATCACCTGTGATTAAGTTGTTTGCTAAGGTTTAAAAACAGCAGAGTTGGAAGACCAAGTCTTAGAGTAGAGAAAAGTAACAGAAACATTGAGACGTTTTCTGATCAATCTAACATCCTCATTCCCACAGTGTCAAGGAACAAATACTTAGATGAATGAAGGGCATTTTTTGTGTTGTAACTTAAACTTATATCCTTTACCTGTCTTTAGGACCTTCTCTAGATATGTGGACAAACTTTACAATGTATCTGGACCAAACGTTTGCTTCAACTACTAGACAATCATTTTATTTTACATGGAGTATGTTTCTCATGAGGATGTGCCCCTTTTTATTTCTAGATTTGTTAACAGTGAGGGGAACAAATAGCAGTGGTATCTAGTTTTTAGTGCAGAATCAAAGAGCAAGATCTGAAGTCATAGATCCTGGTTCCTTTTTTTTTAATATTTAGAAAAAATTTTTAAGTTTATTTATTTATTTTGAGAGAGACAGAGACAGTGTGAGTAGGGGAGGGGCAGAGAGAGAGAGTGAGGGAGAGAGAATCCCAAGCAGGCCCCACACTGTCAGCACAGAGCCCAATGCAGGGCCTGAACTCACGAAACCATGAGATCATGACTCAAGCCGAAACTGAGAGTTGGACACTTACTTAATCAACTGAGCCACCTGGGCACCCGGATCCTGGTTCCTTTTTGAATTTTTCTAGTTTTCCTGTTGCCATTCTAGTCTTCCTGGAATTACTGTAGTAGCCTCTTAATTGCTCTCATGGTTTCTCTTCTTCCCTCTGCACTATTAAAATAACCAGAGTGATCTTTAAAAAAATGCGAATCACTACCATGCTTAAAACACTTTAGTATACTTCTGGTTTACTTAGAATAAAATCCAAACCCCTTATCATGGCCAATAAGTCTCCACAATCCTCATCTCCTACACTCTCTCACTTGCTTATTCATCTCCAGCCACTTGGCTTCCTCTTTGACCCTGAAAGAGGCTTACTTCCCTACTTTAGAACTTTTCATTGCTATTGCCTCTGCCTAGGATACCTCCCCCTCCCCCAGATCTGCACATGACCTCCTTTTGTCACTGAGGCTCAATTCAATCATCATCCCTTCAGGGAAGCCATCTTTGGCCCTTCTAAACCAAATTAGCACCTCTCCCTTCAATTCTCTGTAACAGCTTTTTCTTCATATTCTGCACAGAATTTATTACTATCTGAAATTATTTTATTTGTTTATTTACTTATTGACTGTCTCTCTCACTAGGCTTTGTATTCCAGGAAAACAGGGACCTTTTTTGTCACGTTCACCACTTTAACTCCAGTGCCTAACACAAAGTAGATGTTCCATAAATATCTGTTACATGAATGAATACATTCTCAACTGGTCTCTCTGTCATTTACCTGTGCTGGGTCAGATACTTGAATCTGTGTCTTAGTTTCTCCATCTTTGAAACACTAACAATAGAATTTGCCATCTTGGGGCACCCAAGTGGCTCAGTCGGTTAAGTGGCTGGCTCTTGATTTTGGCTCAGGTCATGATCTCACTGTTGGTGAGTTCAAGCCTTGCATTGGGCTTTACACTGACAGTGCGGAGCCTGCTTGGGATTCTCTCTCTCTCTGTCCTTCCCTTGCTCTCTCTCTCTCTCAAAATAATAAATCAACTTAACAAAATGAATTTGCCATCTAACTCATTTTTAGCATGGAGGAGAAAAATTAAGCTATATTTATATCTGGAAATATTACTCCTGAATGATGTAATGCTGTGAAACAAACAGGTATATGGTATTGTAGTAGGTATACAATAAAAATATTCTCCACCTATCATCAGGTAAGATTCTGGATTTCCTTTTTTTAAGTAATTTCTTTCTCTGTTTCATTTGATGTTTCTAGAAAGTGACTGAAATATACCAGTTCAAATTCAAATACACAAAACAAGGAGCCACTATGGATTTTGACAGGTAGAATCTAATTAATTGTTTAATAAACATGAGAAATAGGATTGAAGTAAACATAAGCTTCTTGAAGCCATAGATAGGCCTTATATTTCCTTTGTAACTTCCCCACTGATCCTACAAAAACCCTCTATTATAGAAAGAGACTGTAAGAGTCATTTAAATTTCTAAAATCTGTGGATGAAATTGGTAAGAGTAGAGTCTTCCTTTGCTTCTTTTCCTCTTCTCATAGGTGATATTAGTGGGGTCTAAAGACAGTCAAGTTTGGTGGTTAATAGTTCCAATTCCTAAGGCAGAGAGACCTAGCTTGGGACACTCTATTATTGGTCTAACTTTGGACAGATTACTCAACCTCCCTAGATGTTAATATTCTCATCTGTACGGTGGAATGAATAATATTTACATCATATGGTTGCTGTGACTATTAAATTACGATGCATAGACAAAACTTGGCCCATGCCTGGCACATTTTAAAAAGCTGTAAATGGTACCTGATGGTAGTGGCAGTGATGGTGGTGGTCCTTGGAGGCAATGGTGGTTGGTAGGTGGCACAGTAGTCGAAATATTAATGAGGCTGTCTACATGTTGTTAATTGAAGAACTCTGTAAGAGTCTATCTAGCCACTAATCTAAAGTTTCTCAATTGCTGTGCCAAGATATTGATCTTCTCTGCCCTCAAGATAGCTAGCCTGGGCCTGGAGTAGATGAAATCCCTGAACTATTTGCCTATAGACACAAATATTCTCATCTGCTTGTCCCAGTATGTCATACAAATGTAATTTTCTGTGTGTGTCCCTGTATGGAAAAAAGACTGGAAAGCACTGTATTTTCCTATCAAGTCTAAAGTGCCAAATTAAAAAAAAATTTTTTTTAACGTTTATTTATCTTTGAGACAGAGAGAGACAGAGCATGAACAGGGGAGGGGCAGAGGGAGAGGGAGACACAGAATCCGAAACAGGCTCCAGGCTCTGAGCTGTCAGCCCAGAGCCCGACGCGGGGCTCGAACTCACGGACCGCGAGATCGTGACCTGAGCCGAAGTTGGCCACCCAACCGACCAAGCCACCCAGGCGCCCCTAAAGTGCCAAATTTTAGATACACTAATGGGTTAAAGAGCAAAGATGTGGGTATTTGCTTCAGAGAGTCCCCAGTATAGATGGAGATATTTTATTGAAAAGCAACATTTATTCCTATCCCAGTAACTTTTGGATTCAGAAAGATCTAATTTTGCTGATGAGATAGAATAGAAGTGGAGAGGATGGATGATAGTGAAAAGCCCTGAGTGGTAGAAGGCTCCAAGTCAGGGGAATGAGTGCCCATGAAAGGAATGACTCTGAAGAGAAACGTGGCCTAATTCTCAATTTTTTGTGCTATTAGCTCTGTCTTATCATTTACTGCAAGTTTGAGAATTTCTCTCTGAGATTCACTTCCTTAATTATTCCCTTATTTGTAAAACACAGACCGCACTAGGATGTGAAGAGGAAGTAAGTTCTAGGAATGAGAATTAAAATATTAATCATCATAAACTAATATATATATATGTGTATATATATATATGTATATATTTGAAAGATTATACACTTTTCATACATATTCTCCCACATTAAACAGTTGCCTTTTACTCTCTAAAATTCAAATGTACTACTGGCAACCAGATTAATCTCTTTTATGAAGGCATATATGCCAAGAGGTGAGCAGTAACACAAATGGCCAAATCTTTCAGCTACTAAGGAGGAGAGAAGGTAATGCATATTACTAGTTTCCTAGAAACTAAAGGTAAACATTTATTTAAATGATTGATCATACAAAATTACCTTATCACCTCTTCCATGGTAAAAATAGCTTCCCTTTTAAAAGAGTGCAAGAGAGTCTTGAGTATGATTTTACATGATATGATTTTATGAATATGATATATACTGAAAGATCCCATAAGCTACATGCTACATGCCCCTTCACTCAGGCTACCTATTTCAAATTGGTTAAATCTTAGTAGACAATATATTCAAAATCAAAAGAGGACCAAATGTATTCACTTAATAATGTCTATTTTATGAATTTACATTTCCTCCAGTACTCAATTAAGATTATTTTTCACTATTGAATGATTACTATGTGAAAGGCATTGTGCAAATATATTGCAGTGATAGTTCTTCCTAGAAACTACTCAAATATGAGACCTATTTGAAAAGAGAATTTTGGAGAGAAATTAAAAATATTTAGGGTTAGAAGGTAATTTGGTTCAACTTATTCATTCATTCATCCCACAAATATTTATTGAGTATTTACTGTAGCTGGCACAAAACAGTACTGTGGGCATAAGAAGATATAGCCATGCATAATCTAAAGGGGAGCATACAAACAGTTATAAACAGGAGTAATGTATGGGAATTATCAAGAAAAACTTCCTTAAAGAGGTGACACATGAGCTAGCTATCAAAGGATGAATTTAGGAGAGTCAGAAAAAGTACAAGTGGGAAAAGTGGGAAAAGTACAATATGAGCAAAGTGAGCAGCATGTGCAAAGGCATGTAGGTGAAAAGAAACTGAGTAGTAAATGCAGATGAGGTTGGAGGTGAGGGTGTGGCTGGTCATGAAAGGCATTGAACACATACCATTCTTGAATTTGATTGAAAGGTGATAGGTGTAATAGAAGAATTTTAAGCAAGAGTGATATGAGCAGATTTTCCTATAGGTGTGTTGTTGCAGCAGTAATATAGAGAATCTTATTGCAGTGTGGACAAGAAGAAAAGCTAGAAGAATAGATCGCCATTGTTGCAATCCATGTAGGGGAGGGGATGTCTCTGACAGATAACCAGACAGTAGAAAGGCCCAGAGCTGATGACTGATTTTCTATTTGGAGATGTGTAGAGATGTGTAAAAGCTTATCTCACAAGTGAGCTAACTGACCTAGAGTGTCTAAATGACTTGACCCAGGTCATTCAGCTAGTTAGCACAGACCCAATCAAGTCTTCTAATTCTTTTTTTTTTTTAATATAATTTATTGTCAAATTGGCTAACATACAGTGTGTACAGTGTGCTCTTGGTTTTGGGAGTAGATTCTTGTGATTCATTGCTTACATACAACACCCAGTGCTCATCCCAACAAGTGCCCTCCTCAATGCCTATCACCCAGAGGTTTGTTCTCTGTATTTGAGAGTCACTTATGGTTTGCCTCCCTCCCTCTCTGTTTGTTAACTATTTTTTCCCCTTCCCTTCCCCCATGGTCTTCTGCTCAAATTCCACATATGAGTGAAAACATATATCTGTCTTTCTCTGTCAAGTCTCCTAATTCTAAATCCACTGTTCTCACTGTTATGTGGTTATTTGTAACTCAAATTTTTAAGAAATCAGGTCATATTTAAAATGCCTTAGGAACTTGCTACCTAAGAAATCCATTGTATATACATTGCAAAAAGTACAATCACTGCTCTAATTTACATTCTACAGATATTCTCAAGTGTCCTGATGTTTACTTTATATTTACTTGATTATATGGTAAAGAGTTTTGTTCTTTTTGAAATAGATTTTCAATATTGTATATGACTGAAAAGTATGCTGTTTTTCTATTTGGCTATAGTAGTAGTATAAGCTTCGAAAGTGGGACAAACAGTGAAGATGTTAAGAAAGCCAGTGTTCTACTGATCCGCAAATTGTACATACTAATGCAGAACCTTGGACCCCTTCCTAATGATGTTATACTTACTATGAAACTCCACTACTATAATGCAGGTAGGTGGAGACCACTAGTCAAATTCCTTCTATTTATTTATGTATTTATTTATGAATTTATCTATCTATTTATAGAAAGCATGAGCTGGGGAGGGGCAGAGAGAGAGAGAATCCCACGCAGGTTCCCACGCTGTCAACGCAGAGCCTGATGCAGGGCTTGAGCCTACAAAAATGATGAGATCATGACCTGAGCCAAAGTCAGACGCTTACTGGTCTGAGTCACCCAGGCGCCCCTAGTCAAATTCCTTCTTAAGCATTGAAGTAATATTTTATATAGAGAGATTTTGTAAGCATCTGAGAGATCTGTTGCTATACATGAAAGATTAATCTAACTTCTTGATTAAATTGAAACACAGTTTTCTTGGTTTTCTGCCCTTTTCATTTTGCAGTGACTCCTCATGATTACCAACCCCCTGGTTTTAAAGAAGGGGTAAATTCACACTTCCTGCTGTTTGAGGGGGAGCCTGTAAACCTGCAAGTGGGATTGGTCTCCACTGGCTTTCATAGCATGAAAGTAAAAGTCACAACTGAGGCCACCAGAGTGTCTGATTTGGAGAACAATCTCTTTCAGGAGAACAGCACAACTGAGATTACCCATCAGGGTCTAGACTTTGATGAGGAAGAAGAAGAATGCAGCAATCATGTAAGACAAAGCTTTAGTGAGACTCTGTTGCTTCAGTTAAACATAGCTAACATTTTCCAGTTCCTACACAGGTTATATCACAGTAACAGTCCAATGGAGTATGCCAGGTATAAAACCTAAAACAAAACTAGCTCTCGACCTCAGGGAGTCTTTACTGTAAAAATGTACTGTCTTCAAGAAGGGAATATACTTTGTTAGATGAAATTGTCCATTATGAGGAGAAGAAAAAGACTTTCTAATATATGAATTTTATAAAAGGTACCCATGAATTTCTTTCTTCCATTTATAGGTAACATTTTTAGGATTTAAAAAATATTCTAGGTATTTATTCATACTCACTGGAAGTATAAATAAGTTCTTGATTACTGGGATAATTGAGTGGTCAGAAGTGGTGGAAAAGAAGTTACAGATAATCTCAAGTCAGAGTGAAAACAAAATGATAGTCAACTGTTGGTTATGTGGACAGAGACAAGCTTTGGGCTAGGTCCCTGGGAAAAGTCAGGGAGCTTGTTTGGAGCCACTGGACCAAATAGATAGGACTCAGCCTTTTACCTTCCTACTTTCTCCAGTAGAGACTAGAGTTGAGTACTTGCGAGGGCCCCACTGTGTCCTAGGTAAATCCACACCCTGTCATCTAGATAACAAAGTTTAATGTGTGTCAGCATTGTATTAAAAGGATTCTGAGCTAGACATAAAGGGTTTTTAGAGTACTTAGTGGGAAGAGATGCTATAAAATCTTTTCAGGAACTATTTTCAGATTAGGATGCTAATTTGTTTGCCTGAGATAGTTTGAGTCTTCCTTAAAGGGATAACTATAGTAAATAACTTTTGAATGTTCTTTCTGATTCTTTAAATCTGGTGTATTTCATATATTGAAAGAGGTCTTATTTCAATTAATATAAATAATATAACCAAACAAGATTCTTTTTTCCATCTTTAGTATTTTCACAATGTCATACATGCTAATGGCTTTAGAGTCTGGTGCAACTTTCTTCTGAATCTGTTCAAGGAAGATATAGCTAACATAGGCTAGTTTTAAAAAAAATAAAGGGTTTTTTAAATGTTTATTTACTTCGAGAGACAGAGAGAGAGAGAGAGAGAGAGAGAGAGAGAGAGAGAGAGCAAGTGAGCGGGGGAGGAGCAGAGAGAGAGGGAGGGAGAGAGAGAGAATCCCAAGCAAGCTCTGTGCTGTTAGAGCAGAGCCTGATGTGGGGCTTGATCTCACAAACTGTGAGATCATGACCTGAGCCAAAATCAAGAGTTGATCACCTGACTGAGCCACCCAGGTGCCCCCAAAAAACCAAGGTTAGGAAAAGAATGAACACGATTCAACTGGATTTTTATCTTTCAAAATTAAGAATTTCTTTCTCTTTTACCAATGGAAATGAAACCAGACAACTTGAGAATGAATAATTCAATTGATAGATTAAATAATACATGTGATAACATTTGTCAACCGTATGTTTAATAGGAACTATATATACAAAGATCAGAATTTTGTGGTAAACTCAGTCAATTCAAGTTCCTTCCTCAGCCAGCCAATTATGTGAAAGGATTTAAGTAAGTCTAGAGAAGAGCTTACTGACAGTTTGTCACTCAGAATTCTGTTTGCTTTTATTTTATTTTATTTTATTTTATTTTATTTTTACTCTTAAAAAATTTTTTTAGGGGTGCCTGGGTGGTTCCGTCAGTTTTGTTTGTGGGTTGTGGGTTTGTGGGTTTGAGCCCCGTGTTGGGCTCTGTGCTGACGGCTCAGAGCCTGGAGCCTGCTTCGGATTCTGTGTCTCCCAGTCTCTCGGCCCCTCCCCTGCTCATGCTCTGTCTCTCTCTGTCTCTCAATAATAAATAAATGTTAAAAAAAAATTTTTTTTAATAAAAAAATAAAATAAAATGTTAATGTTGTTTTTTTTTTTTTTTTGAGAGGGAGAGAGAAAGAGCAAGCAGGGGAGGGGCAGAGAGAGTGGGAGACAAAAATCTGAAGCAGGCTCCAGGCTCCAAGCTGTCAGCACAGAGCCTGATGCAGGGCTCAAACCCATGAACCATGAGATTGTGACCTGAGCTGAAGTCAAACACTTAACCGACTGAGCCACCCAGGCACCCCTTATTTTTAAATTTTGAGAGAGACAGTGCGGGACAGGGGCAGAGGGAAGACAGAATCTTAAGCAGGCTCCACGCCTAGTGTGGAGGGCTTGATCTCACAACCCTGAGAGATTATGACCTGAGCTGAAATTAAGAGTCGGATGCTTAACTGACTGAACCACACAGGTGGCCCCCCCTTTAACATTCTTAAATCCAAGTGTAACTTACATATGGAAAAACACATCATAATGATATTGCTCAATAAGTATTCACAAACTGAACATCAGGACTGGGATGAGGGTGAAGCAAGCATGGTGAGAGTAAGCACGTTCTTAAATTTTGCTCCTTAGGTAACCTGTTTGTCTCACCTTTGTCCCAGCCTACTGAATAAACGTGTGAAATCAAAACCCAGTGAAGAAACAAAATACTTTGAAGTCTTACTTTGTAGTCATTCAATAAGAATATCTCTATCCTGACTTCTATTAGCATAGATTAGTTTCTCTTGTTTTTAATTTTATAGATGTAGAATCAGAGTATGAGCCATTTGTTCTCTCAACATTATGTTGTGATATTTATCCATATTCTTGCATGTTCTCACTATTCATTCATCTAATGTTGATGGGCATTTAGATAATTTTCTGGTTTTGACTATTACGAATAGTACTGCTCTAAACATTCCGAACATGTTTCTCAATGAAATATGTACATATTTCCGGTGAGAATAGAACGGCTAGGAGCAGATTTGCTGCGTCAAGAATATGTGTGCATTTATTTTTATTTTATTTTATTTTTAAATGTTTATTTATTTTTAAGAGAGAGAGAGAAAGTGTGTGCACATGAGTGGGGGTGGGGCAGAGAGAGGGAGACAGAGGATCCAAATCAGGCTCTATGATGAGAGCAGAGCCCGATGCTGGGCTCAAACTCAACAAACGGTGAGATCATGACCTGAGCTGAAGTTGGACGCTTAACCAACTGAGCCACAGAGGTGCCCCTGCATTTAGTTTTAATAGATACTACAAAACAATTTCCAAGGTGATTGTGCTAATTTATATTCCCATCAGCAATGTATGAGAGTTGTGGTTGCTCCACATCCTCACCAACCCTTGGCATTTTCTGTCTTAATTTTAGCCGTTCTGATGGGTGTGTAGTGGGATGCCACTGTGGTTTTAGTTTATAGTTCCCTGATGACTAATGAAGGTGAGCATCTTTTCATATGTTTATTGACCACGTTGGATATCCTCTTTGGTGAAGTGTCTTTCCAAGTTGTCATTTTTATTTATTGGGCTCTATTGGATCGATCGTCTTTCATTTTTACTTATTTGTAGTTCTGCATATATATTCCATGTATAAGTCCTTTATCAGATACATATATTGTCAGTATCTTTGACTTTATGAGTTGCCTTTTTAGTCTCTTAAGAGTGTGCTGTGGCAAATAGTTTTTAAAAAAACTACTGTGTGCAGTTTTTTAAAAAAAATTTTTGTCTATTCGGAAGTTTAGAGATGTTCTCTATGTTCTTCTCTAAAAAGGGGACATAATTACAGAAACAGAAGAAATTTTTCAATTATAAAAGCCCCCCATGAATAACTTTATACCAAAAAATATAAATATAAAATATAATGTAAATATAAATACCCTTCTCTCTCCCACCTTCAAATATTTGTATATTTTGGTATGACGTTATTTGTTCTCTGTTTCATTCATGTTTTGTCTGGTTTGGTTTTGTCTCCCTAACTTCAAATTGATCTTTCCATCAATATATAGACATATATATCCTACAAGTGCCTCAAATTCAACATCTCCAAATAGAATTTCAACTTCTGATCAAATATGCTCTTTCTTTCCTCAGGTTCCTTATCTTGGTGTTGTAACCATCATTTTATCAAACAGCCTGACCAGGAATGTGTTCAACTTCTGTGTTCTCACTTCCCTTTGGTTACCATTTCCATCTATTTTGCCTTTGAAATATTTCTCAAGTTTGGCTCTATTGCCATTGTGCTGATTCAGGCTGTCATCCTTGCTTTCTTTGTGACTGACAGCTAACTCTCCTTACTGAGTCTCCCTGATGTCGGCATTGCCTCTCTAATCTGTCTTCTAGAGTACCAGAGAATGAGGGTAGTAAAACTATAATAATCATTTTCAAATATTTCAAGTTCATTTATTTTGTGTAACTTCAAAGGGCAGAAGGAGAGACAGGAAATGAAAATCACAGGGGTGAGAGGAGGTTGATTTTGAATCATTAGAAGGAAGAACTTTCTCTTTAAAATTTGAAGGCATTATTATAATGACATTAAGGTAATTTAAAAAGCAATGCAAATCTTCTAACTGCTACCATCTTATCAATAATGTTCATTTTTGTATGTTCCATCACCTCCAGTCTTTTTCCACAGATACCCATATTTGTATATGGTTTTAATCATGGTTTATATATACAATTTGTTTTACTTTTATACTTAACTTTATAAATATGTCCCACCTTAATCTTCATATTTCTAATTTTAATGAACTTTTGTTTTATATAGGTACTTACTCTACCATTTCCCTACTTTTTTTTTTTAAATTTTTTTTCATCGTTTTTTATTTATTTTTGGGACAGAGAGAGACAGAGCATGAATGGGGGAGGGGCAGAGAGAGAGGGAGATACAGAATCGGAAACAGGCTCCAGGCCCTGAGCCATCAGCCCAGAGCCTGATGCGGGGCTCGAACTCACAGACCGTGAGATCGTGACCTGGCTGAAGTCGGACGCTTAACCGACTGTGCCACCCAGGCGCCCCCCATTTCCCTACTTTTAAACATTTAGGTTAGTTCTTGATTTTGCTATTATAAATAGTGTTATAATAAATACTTTTGTATGTATGACAGAATTTTCCTTGTTTTTTAAGGATATGGTATCAGGAGTGAAATTTACAGAATCTGAAATTTC